CCGCCCGCCCGGTTCCAGCTTCTCACTATCCAGGCGTTTCTGCAAAGCGGGAGGGGTCGAGGGAGGGGGGGAGGTTGGTGGGAAAAGAAAAGATGGAGCAGCGGCCAAGGGTTTGTAAAGCAAGCGGCGGAGTCCTGCAGCTCAGAGGCGACACGGGGGGAGGGAATCGGAGCTAACCGAGGAAGGAGGCGCTGCTGCTGCTGTTTCTGCTGCCGCCACCAGCCGGGGCATAATACGGTAAATAAATACGAGCGTAGGGGATCCGCGCGTGAACGAAGCCCCACTCCCCCGCCCCTTTTGCTTTCTCTCCCGAGCCGGCGCTTTTGAAAAGGGCTTGACTCCAGCCTGGGATTCGGAGCGGGAGACGACGACGCTGCTGCCCGCGCTGCTGTGGACTTACAATATCCGAGCAAAAGACTTTGCAAAAGACCACCCCGCCAAGGGGGAAAGACGCGCAGTTGGGCACCGTCTTCCTTCGGCGTCTCTTTAAACGGTGCTCGGATATTGTAAGTCCACAAAGAACTGGGGAAAAATATTGACTCAAGTATAAGCCTAGGGGGGCATTTTTCAGCTCAAAAAATGGGCTGAAAAACTCGGCTTATACTCGAGTATATACGGTATATTAATCCTTTGGTTTCTCTAAGTTTTCCAAATTTGCTAATATATTCTTGAAGAAATTTATTTTTATTGCATTTTATTTTTAATGTATTAGCTTAGCAATTTTATAAAGCAGGCTAAAATAGAAAGTGGCATACTATTTTACTGAAAAAAACACACACAACCCAAATTGGGTATTAGCATTAATGTGCTCAAATAAGTTGTAAACCTCAAACTTATTTTTCGGAAATCCCTCAAAACCTGGCTTTGTCATCAGGCCTAGGAATCTTAGAGGACCAATGAGATCCATTGTTGATGTAGTTCCATTGCTGATCGAATCTCTTGCATGTGTTCCATTTTTAAAAAATGACATATTTATTGTTTTTATACTTTTTTGCTGTACTATTTTCTCATTCAATAACTTTTTGTGAAATGGGAAGTCATATAAACCTGATAAATAAATAAATAGCTTGATATAACATATTTTGTTTACTTATTTAGGAAAGAGAACAGAAGTCATAATTATGAAAAGGTTCTAACAGTTACAGAAATTTAACGGCTGGAGAATGCTTTTTTATTTAAAAAATTCAACAAATTAAAATAATATGTAGTTCAACATGTTCAAGGAAATGTACTCCAATTTCTTTTTTTAAGTTTTACAATATATAAATTTAAAAGTGAGATAAAAATGAAATTTACCTGCATATTGACTCTTTCAATTACACAGGAGAGAACATGGAGGACATGCATCTTTGTATCACATTCTCTAACTTCTTGAAGAAGTTTAAAGAGCAATGTAAACACAGATTCCAAGTACTATAAGAAAAAAAAAGTTGGGTGTTAATAAAGAATTGTTTTGGTTACTGATCCAAAATATTTAATAAGAGTAAATTTTACATCTGAAATATCTGGTCTATCTTTGCCTCGAATCCATTCCGATAAATCTTATTAAGCATTACTAGGATTCATTCAGTCCCTTCCTATTTCCAAATGAGTTTTTCTGCTTTTCTTTTTTATTCTCTATCCCTCATGCATTTTCTATGAATCATATTTCCTCATACTCAGTTTTAAGATATCTGAAATGATAACAGCTCATTAAATAAACTATATCTTATCAGAAATAACATGTTAACTAAAAATATGTTTCTTCTATGAATCAGCAAGATAGAAAGTCTAAAAAACATAAAGTTGAGGACAATAAAGGGACTTTTAAATATTCCAAATGACAATTTTGCTAAGATTTCATCACAATTACATAGTGCTAATGAATTAATGCAGTTTGCTGCAAGTTAATCTGCAGTTTGTTGCAGAATAAGAGCACACTTTGGAGAATAATTGGATTGTTCACTGAACAATCTGGAAGAGAATTATCATAAACAAATAGCTTGTGAAATGTTAAATAGTAATTTTTAACTTATTTTTTTATAAAGCACTCTTTACATTTTAACTATGCCATAAGGAAGGATTGTTTTCCAAATTACATTTTTTTCCTTGCTCTTCATTTATATACATTACATACTACTACATCAACTTTTATAATTAAAATACCCCCACCTTTCAACTGAAACATTACATATAAAATACTTACTGGTAAGAACTGATCAGTCCTAAATTCAAAATCATCCACTGGTAAAATTGAGTTAAGAAAAACCAAACCCTGTATCTTATGATTTAAAACAAAACCCAAACCCAAAATCCAATCCAATCATTTTCAGCATTCTGTTATATCATAATGATTTATACAAGGAAAAGGATATCAAGTTTCAATGTTGTTGCTGTCTCAATACGGACCTGAGTGAAAATAATTGAATCAGAACATGTGTTGCCCTGAGTATTTATAAAATAATTTTAAAATAAAACATTTATATTCCAATTCTTCTACTTACGTTGATGCTAAACAACAGATTATAAATACAAATCATTTATTTATAGTCCCAGGCCAATAATACACAAATATAAATTTTAAAATGCAGAAAAACCAAACATGAAACATTTAAAAATGAGAAGAAGTATCAAGGAATTTTTGAAAGCTATAGCTATTCCTAGAAANTTTAAGAAATGAGCTAACTTATTGTATTAACATATCTGTGTCTTAATTCCATGACCGCATATGTTCATGAAAATAAACACATTCATACTTGTTTTAAAAAAAATTACAAAATCGATAACAAAATACAGGTGCAAATACAGCTTTGACGAAGAATTAGCACCATTATTACAACAATTATAAGAGAAGTTCTAGAAAAAAAATCGTATTTTATTGCAGGTTCTAAATTATGTTATAAATACTATACATGAATTATGTCTAAAACAAATCAGTGCCAGATTTTCTTACTGAGAATTAAGTACTGTTTTGAGGCTGGATAACAGGCATAGATATCTATTAGGAAATATTTCAGCCAAAGCAATTATTTCCAGTGGTACTTTTTTCAGAAAACAACAGCAGGGTAGAGGGTGTTCCTGACAGAAAACATTTAAACCAATTATCAATCATAACTCCTATTCAACAGCTCTTTAGAGAACAGGAATGGGGAAAGAAGCGCCAAATAAATCCACAGGAAGCATATGCTATTATAAAGCATGTATTCGATCCTTAGACTAGAAGTTTCTTATCCTCAGTTATGTACTGTATTTGTAAGATAGAATTTTATCCTTTTAACTTGAGGCTGGCAGATCTTGGAAATGGTACTTGGAAATGGTTCTGCACCATGAAAGCTGGGTAAAATACCTGGAGATTTGGACTGGAATGCCATTAAAGTTTTGCAGATATTCCAGAATCTTATTCTATGTTTCGTAAGAGCTTAAGGGAGCAATGAAAATTCAGTCTATGGAACTCTAGCTCATGAACATCCAAATACAGATTTTCAACCCAAACAATAGGAATAGCATATCCTTTAGGATATTTGAATATTTTTAATATAGTGTGGCTACTAATATATATTAATCCTTTGGTTTCTCTAAGTTTTCCAAATTTGCTAATATATTCTTAAAGAAATTTATTTTTATTGCATTTTATTTTTAATGTATTAGCTTAGCAATTTTATAAAGCAGGCTAAAATAGAAAGTGGCATACTATTTTACTGAAAAAAACACACGCAACCCAAATTGGGTATTAGCATTAATGTGCTCAAATAAGTTGTAAACCTCAAACTTATTTTTCGGAAATCCCTCAAAACCTGGCTTTGTCATCAGGCCTAGGAATCTTAGAGGACTAGTGAGATCCATTGTTGATGTAGTTCCATTGCTGATCAAATCTCTTGCATGTGTTCCATTTAAAAAAAATGACATATTTATTGTTTTTATACTTTTTGCTGTACTATTTTCTCATTCAATAACTTTTTGTGAAATGGGCAGTCATATAAACCTGATCAATAAATAAATAGCTTGATATAACATATTTTGTTTACTTATTTAGGAAAGACAACAGAAGTCATAATTATGAAACAGTTACAGAACTTTAACGGCTGGAAAATGCTTTTTTATTTAAAAAATTCAACAAATTAAAATAATATGTAGTTCAACATGTTCAAGGAAATGCGCTCCAATTTCTTTTTTTAAGTTTTACAGTATATGAATTTAAAAGTGAGATAAAAATGAAATTTACCTGCATATTGACTCTTTCAATTACACAGGAGAGAACATGGAGGACATGCATCTTTGTATCACATTCTCTAACTTCTTGAAGAAGTTTAAAGAGCAATGTAAACATAGATTCCAAGTACTATAAGAAAAAAAAGTTGGGTGTTAATAAAGAATTGTTTTGGTTACTGATCCAAAATATTTAATAAGAGTAAATTTTACATCTGAAATATCTGGTCTATCTTTGCCTCGAATCCATTCCAATAAAAGCATTACTAGGATTCATTCAGTCCCTTCCTATTTCCAAATGAGTTTTTCTCCTTTTCTTTTTTATTCTCTATCCCTCATGCATTTTCTATGAATCATATTTCCTCATACTCAGTTTTAAGATATCTGAAATGATAACAGCTCATTAAATAAACTATATCTTATCAGAAATAACATGTTAACTAAAAATATGTTTCTTCTATGAATCAGCAAGATAGAAAGTCTAAAAAACATAAAGTTGAGGACAATAAAGGGACTTTTAAATATTCCAAATGACAATTTTGCTAAGATTTCATCACAATTACATAGTGCTAATGAATTAATGGAGTTTGCTGCAAGTTAATTTGCAGTTTGTTGCAGAATAAGAGCACACTTTGGAGAATAATTGGATTGTTCACTGAACAATCTGGAAGAGAATTATCATAAATAAATAGCTTGCGAAATGTTAAATAGTAATTTTTAACTTATTTTTTTATAAAGCACTCTTTACATTTTAACTATGCCATAAGGAAGGATTGTTTTCCAAATTACATTTTTTCCTTGCTTTTCATTTATACACATTACATACTATTACATCAACTTTTATAATTAAAATACCCCCACCTTTCAACTGAAACATTACATATAAAATACTTACTGGTAAGAACTGATCAGTCCTAAATTCAAAATCATCCACTGGTAAAATTGAGTTAAGAAAAACCAAACCCTGTATCTTATGATTTAAAACAAAACCCAAACCCAAAATCCAATCCAATCATTTTCAGCATTCTGTTATATCATAATGATTTATACAAGGAAAAGGATATCAAGTTTCAATGTTGTTGCTGTCTCAATACGGACCTGAGTGAAAATAATTGAATCAGAACATGTGTTGCCCTGAGTATTTATAAAATAATTTATTTTATTTTGTAAATATAAGGTTAAGAAGATGAATGCAACTACGATTTGTTGTCTAATATTTATGTTTAGTAAATAAATATCAGGGTCCGGTTATTATGTGTTTATATTTAAAATTTTACGTCTTTTTGGTTTGTACTTTGTAAATTTTTACTCTTCTTCATAGTTCCTTAAAAACTTTCGATATCGATAAGGATCTTTCTTGCCAACCTTTATATACTGGGTACCCAAGATGGGTCTTACAGAAGCAAGACTGTAGTTTCTTGATCATAGAGGAATTAATATTTCTGACATTTGGGATTATGAATGCCAGGTAAAATGGATGGTACAATGGGAAGCCTTAACAATACATAGTTAACTGGCAATCTCTATAACTGATCAGACTTACACATTTGCCTATAACTTCCATAAAAGGTACTGTGCCAATTCAAGACAACATCTCCTGTATGAAATATACAGAATCTTATCAAGATATATAGGAATCATTCATGGAATATGCAGCTATGGCATAATTGGGATGGATGATTTTGGCATTCTCACTTTGAGGTTCTAAATCCTAAATCTTTTTTGTAAGTTTGATTAAGACTGTAACCAGGCCAAGTGATAATATTTCCACAAGGTGAATCAGAGAGGGACAGGAAATATGACTTTAAGAAATTTAGACTGAAGACCTTCTAAAGCAGGGTTATCCTTATGAACAGAGTTGTGCACTATATAACATGAAGGCCAGAACATTTGCTTTGTACAATTTTATTGCTGCACGCATTCTAGAGAAAACTAGAACCTTAGTTGTTGAGTAATTGAGGGAACTTAGGGAACTAAGAATTTCCCTAGAACAACAGGGCAATAAAAAAAAGGGCCTTCTTCATGGTAGCTCCCTCCCTGTGGAACATCATCCGTTTCAAAAGGCCCCAAAGATATGATTTTGCTAGTGGGCCTGGGGACCCCAGGGCAATACAGGGCCCATCAAGTGGTTTGTTTGTTATCACTGGGGGGGGGATTGGGTTTGCTATTTGGTGTTTGTTTTCCCCTCTAAGCCACTTGGAGTTACGATGAGTTGGGTAACCACTTAAATTTTCTTAATAAATGAAGTAAAATAAAAAAAATAAAAAATTGAAAGTAACCTGGAATAGTTGGCATGATTTTGCTATCACCTTTCTTGTGTATGGGGAAAGTGACAGAATTAAGCCACTCTTTCAGGAATGATAGAGTCTTATTAATCATAGTAATATCTAACACAGAAGTCTGGCAATAAAGATTTATTTTCAGTAATTCTGACAAAATCATCTTTACCTGAGGTTTTGCCACTTTTCAAATGAGAAATTAGTTTTTTGACTTCTGATTCTGAAAGTAGGGACCAAGCAGGGTAAGGATCAAAATCATCATCCAAAAGAGCACTGAATACACTGTCAAATTATCTCATCCAGAACTCTAAAGCAATTAAGTCATTGGGACAGGAACTAAGTTTATCTGAAGAGCAAGAAGCTGTTTGCCAAAACAGATGATCATTCTTATTTGTTATTGCTTGTCAGAATCTTAAGCCTATTTCACTAATAAGTAGTTTTGCTTTTTCTCCCTTGGTAGATTATTATATTCCCTTTTTTAGTAAATAGAAAATTTCACAAGAGAGAGGTTCATTATAAAAATGAGAAGAGCAGATTTAAATATCTAATGATTACTTTCAAAATTGTATATTTAAAAAATCTACAGAACAGTTTTCATTAAATATTTTATAAAAAAGTAAAAGTCTTTGAAAAATTCCTCATAGGCTAATATATTTTTCATACTTGCAAGGATCTGAAATGATACAATATAAATTAATAATGTTCAAATCTGAGAATAACTTTTGAGGTTGAAGACAACAGGTAAGTGTGTACAAACTTTATTTTCTTTCTTTGTTATTGACAATATTCTGAGAATATAGAAAAAAATAATATTCTGCAAGGAGTCTGAACTAGAAACTACTATATGGAATATTGGTTTGCTGCAGACTGACATGCCTGACATTATGTCTTATCTTTTTTATTAAAAATGTTAGCTTTCTGCAAGGTTTTTCTTCCTGCTACCTGAATTCTCTGCCAGTCAGAATTATCAATGAATCTGAATTATACTTCATTTAACTTCTCAATAAAGAGGAAAAAAAATTACGTAAAGGTAGGATGCCCACACACAAATCCTATTGAATATTGAATAGATAAATCAATTAACTAGTCTAAAAATGATGGATAACTAGTGCAAATACATCTTCAGACTTTCTCTGTGATAGATACACCATACCATTATCCACAGCAATTTTTATGGATCAAAGACTTCCTTGGTATCGTACAAAGCAAACACACCCTTGGGACATACAAAGTTGACCTCCTAAAGGTTTTCTGTGATAGGTTTGCTGTATTTTGCAGCATATCCATACTAAAGTTTTTGACAATCATAGCGGAATGTGGTTAACATGAGATGTACTCAGGGCAAAGAAGCTGCATTTTAATTTAGGTAAGAGAGAGGCACTCCAAGAAAGAGAACCAGATAAACTTGACAAAGGCTTACAAATGAGTTACAACTGTTATAGTTAGGAGTACTTTTGCATGAAATTCTAACTAAAACTGGGGAAAGAGATTTTGCTTAGTCAATGACATTCTGTTTAAACTACCATAATATGGGATAGTTAGAGCCACCTTAAAGATTATTAAAAACAACTGAAGCAAAAAAAAACCAGATGTCTGTATATAGATGGAACCAGAAGACAGAGTATTTGATTTTAATAGCTTAGCAGCTGCTGTTGTTGTTAATGCAGGCAGTACTTATCTAGCGACCACAATTAGTACTGGCACATTGGCTGTTAAGTGGAGTACTCACTAAATGAAATCAAAGCTGTACTTATATCTTACTACACCTTTGCTTTGCTTTACAAATTTGCAAAAGTCATATATATGAGGATTGGTTGCAAAGTTACTTTTTTATCACTGTTGCAACTTAGAACACTTACTAAATGAAGTAGTCATTAAATGAAGACTATATATACAGTCATGTGAAAAATTAGTATGTATCAATGTTTTATCGTTATTAAAACAATATATGAAGATAAAGGTGATATACAGATATCTATCCCACTAACACAATACCAAAACTAGACAACTGGATCAAGAGAACTGTTGGTGACTCACTTAGAAAGGCCAAACTACCAAAGAGAAACAGTGGCGGATAAGAAGCAGTGGACCCATCCTCCCACACTTCTATGGACACCCCCAAATGCCTGAGATACCTCTCTGTCGAATCGTATCATTATCAAGGACCCTTACCTACAACTTCACAAAAGACTTAACAAAAAAGCTTGGCACTTCACAAGATGAAGTAAATACTCCATCAACTCTTCAATATAGGGTCTTCAAACAATCAGAGGCCTGAATACAGAGGAGGAAATCATGGTCTCATTTGATGTCATAGCTGTGTTCACAACCATAGATCTGGAGTTAGCCAAGGAATCTATGACCACATTGTTCCTTTCAGGATTATGGATTTCATAAACTTCTGTCTAACCAAATGCTTCCATTTTGATGGACAAACTTACCAACAAATTAAAGGCACACCTATGGGATCACCACTTTCAGGACTTATAGTGGAGGTTGCTATGCAACGTCTAGAAGACATAACACTTCCACAAATACAACTCAAAAGAGATATGCAGATGACACCTTCACCATAATAAACAAGGACCAATTAGAAAAAAATCCACAGAACCATCAACAACATTTTCAAAGGAATCCAGTTTACCAGAAAAGAAGAAAAAAACAACTCATTACTCATCCTGGACATCCTGATAAGCAGAGACCACAATGGCAAACTAAAATTACAAGTATATAGGAAAATCACCCACACAGATCAAGTGTTCTAATACCAAAGCAGCAACCAACCTCCAACAAGGGGAGCTGCATAAGAACTTTATTAGCCACCAATAGACACAGACATAAAAAATATCTATATACTATGCAAAAAAGATAACCAACAAGACAAAAAGGGAACAAAAAGATCAAAGCACCTCCCCACCAGCATCAGCATCCAGATGAGCACTGATTTAACTCCAAGACTAATATCAGACAAACAATGAAATAAACAATACCCTAATCAAGAAACTGCCAAGCAAGTTAACAGTAAACAGCCCAACCAAAGAACCTCTAAGACCACCCTCACCAACACTGACAGGAAAGCCACTAGAATATAAACTGAGAGCAAACTCCATTCTTTCCTAGCACTGATGATATTACCTAGTTTGCATAATGAAACGTCTGCACGAAAACAACTAAGCTCAGAGAACAAGAATGTCTCAGATATCTTTGGCATTTGAGCAATTGCTTAATGACCATTTGAAATTATGATGGGTCCAGAACAAGGGCTTTATAATCTGTAAAGCACATCTGTTGTGCCACCTTTCCCCTGATCATGTGACTTCATTTCTGGCTCTTGGCAACCAGGTTGCCTTTATGATTGGTTGCAGTGTTTCGTGATCATATGACTGTGATTTGTGACTTTTTTACCGGATTGTGGCACTTTTTGCCAGTTTCCAGAAAAATATTCCCATTTGGAAGAATGGGTTTGCATTTAAGACTGTGAGTTTGCTTAATGATTGTGATTCTCTTAATGACTGCCACAAAAAAAATGTAACATTGGGTCCAGTCATGTGAATGCCTTGATTTATGACCGTAAAGATTTATGGCCTGAAATCCAGTCCCAATTGCAGCTGAAAGTCAAGGGCTATCTGTAACTGAACAACAACAAAGAAAAGAGAAACTGACTTTGAAATCTTTTTAATTAAACAGATATGCTACTTCCTTCTATGGAAAAAATAAGTATACCATCAGTTTGATAAAATTCTGGGGGGTTTAGAGACCTCTTTCAGCATCTTGTGTCCTACTCTGAGGCTGAACTTGTTGGGACAGCCTAGCCATGCTAGTTGACAGCTGTTTGAAATTCTTTTCACTTGTAGACAATATTTCAAAATTGTTGTCCAGTTGTTTGGCAATTTTTTTAAATCCCTTTCCAGACTCTATAACCATCGTTCTGAATGCCTCAGAGAGCTCTTTCAATCTAGGCATCATGATACACACCGTACAAAAACAAAGAGCAAATCAAACTAAAATCTGAGGTTTAAATAAGACAGGTGCCTTCCAGATACTCCTTAATGATGTTCTAATCATTTGAACCTGATTTGGTGCACCTGATTCTAATTTTAGGTATATCTAGAGAGTGGCAAATGACAGGTATACTTACTTTTTCCACGTGCAAAATTTACATTTATGTTTATTTAAATTACACAATGGACAACAAAATGTAAATGGTGCATGATTACTTTGAGATCAAACCACCCATCTGGCTTGGAACTAAAATAGATTGTTTTAATTGGCTTAGCATAGATATGTTGTTCTGAACACTAAATACATCTTCACTTAGATCTGATACTGGGGGAAAAAACCTTTTCAGATTTTCTGAGTTATATAAAGAACATGGAGACATCCCTAACAAAAGAATGTGACAAGAAGCAAATATCAGTAAACTGAACATGAAAGGCTAGGAATATGACAAAGAAAAACTACTTGTTAAAAAAAAATCTAGACATACCACTAAATCTTCATCTTGAAGCAAATTACAGATTGCTTCATACAATATAGGTCTCAAATCAGACTTGAATTTCACAGAAATCCATTGTCCAATTAGCCAGATCACTCGCCGCCGTATTGGTTTATACCTATAAACACAAAAATTATTTTTTGAAGTCACAGTTACTAAAATTGGTTACTAAAAGGCTCAATATCAAAACATTTTCAGTAATTTTATTCTGCCTACAGTCTGAACATCTGCAGGGGTTTTTTTTAACAATATTTGAATCTGGGGTTAGTTGATTGCAATTACCATGTTTCCCGGAAAATAAGACCTGGTCTTATCATTTTTTTGCCTCCAAAACAGGCATCAGTCTTATTTTCAGGGGATGTCTTTTGCACTGTCTCACCTTGTGGCGGTGGCACCAACAGCCTCATTCAGAAGGAGCTCGCATTGCCACCAGCCCACTTCTTCTGCAACCGCTCGCCACTGCTTGCGTGCGTCACGCCCTCAGCCTCCGTTTTGCCAGCAGAGGCCTTCAGGAAAGGCCTTTGCAGCTGAGAATGGAGCTCTGGGATGATGCCAACAACCCGTTCTAGCTTGATTTTTATGCGTACGCCTCGCCCTACCTCATGCAACCAGATGGTGGGACTGAGTGAGTGGGGTGTTAACTAGGGCTTATTTTGGGGGTAGGGCTTATATTAGGCACAAACGTAAAAATCAAGCTAGGGCTTATTTTTGGGATAGATCTTATTTTCGGGGAAACACGGTATTTAATTTTCTATAAAAATAAATAAAAATGAGTTGACAGTAATTTCAAAGAAAAAGGATTACAATAAAATATTTAATATTGAATACAGACATTCAAGGAGTAAAGTTAATTGACTTTTTTTTCTTTTTACAACCCTGTAATCCCTTTTATCAGGGTAGAGTCAGAGCGATTGAATGGAGCTGAGCGTTTACTGGTTGGGTGCCCTTCCTGACACCTACACAGAGTTCACAGCAAGCTATTTTTTCTTTGTGCTCTGATAGAGAAATATCTGTTGCTGCCTAGGATTAAACTTTCAACTTTCCAAGTGGGAGGCTTCTAGGCCACTGTGCTGCTCAGTAAAGTTAACTGACTATTTCAGGGATATATCTTTTGTAATCTCTGTATCTCCAGTGCATTTGGAATCTACAAGAACCACAATTCATAATTTTAATTATTTCCAATGAATACCATTCTGACTGGGAACAATTTTTCCAGATATTGATAATTTATTTATTTATTTATTTATTTATTTATTTATTTATTATTTAAATTTCTACCCCGCCCTTCTCCCAGCGGACTCAGGGCGGCTTACAGCCATTTAAAACAGGTACATAATACAAAAATACTGAATTTAAAATGTAATTAAAATAGAATATTAATTGTTGGCCTTTTTTTGTTAAAATTATTTTAAAACCAAATTAAGATAACCCTTAGGCCAGTCCTGCTAGCTTAAATTATAATTCTCAGTAGGAAGACTATAGGTTTCATGAATGTTATTGCTTTTCTGACAGTTTTTTTTAAATTCAAAACATATCTATGATATGACTGGCTCCAATAACGTTTCAAGAATTATATTAAAGAAAAATGAAGTCTTCCTTGAGTTCAGTTCAAATTCTAGTAAAAATACTGAAGTGATTTGCTATCGTCTTTTTCTGGGTTCTGTCTAGGTTGCACCCTGGGATTTCCCACTAATCACCTACCATTTGCTTTTTTTTTTCAAGATCAACTATGGTTGCTAAGTGTTAAGGCAATCTATATTATAATGCAAAATACAAACTATACAAAATATGTAGTGTCTTGTATTACTATAATCCAAAGAGTGTTAAGATCCAAAGTGCAGCCTATGTATGGAGTTGCCACTGTAGCAATTCTTTATTTTCTAATGTTATCAAAACTTTATGTAGCTATTGTGGAAGGAGTATGGAAAAAAGTAACAGTGGCTTGACCAGTGCAATGCCAGCGATTGTATCAGATTCCAAGTTTAGTACAAGGGAAGAAAGCAACAGAGATTGTTAAAATTCAACATCTGCATAATTTTATATTTGCCAATAATCTATAGTACATACAATATTTTAATTGATTGAATGCAGAGAAAACAACTTTGCAAAAATTGCATTATTTATACTGAATTTGCATGAACAGCTGGCTAAAAAAAGTACATACCTGTTATGAGTGACTTGCAATTCAGCTAATAGCTGGGTTTTAAACCACTGATCAAAATCCACACTATCAAAGAGTTCATATGCCGCTAGTCCAACTGCATTGTACACTGAACAAAGAAAAATTAAATGTGGGCATTTTTAAAAAAAAATGCTATAAAATGTACTGGTTCACAAGGAATAGAATTTACTAAACCTATTAACTTATGTAAGATTATTAAAATGGTCATTTTGGGCCGTAACATAAAAGGGACACTGCTGGGTCACATCAAAGATTTACCTAATCTATTGTTTTGCATACGAAGTAAGAGATTATGGGATGCCTTTGGGATCCCCAAAGAATGATACAAGCAATCTTCTAAAGTTTCAGTTAAGCAGGTTAACAACTAATTGCTTACTATAAACCAGTGATGGCGAATCTTTTAGACACCGAGTGCCCAAAAACCGCCCTGTCCCCCTCCCTGCCTGCCCGCAGGGCCACCTACTGCCTCCACAGCCCACCACAGCAAATCGCCCAGGTGGCCCTACAGCGCCATGGTGGCCATGCCCTCCGCCCGTGCCCGGCAGCATCAACTGTGCGCTACGGGGTGCCAGGACGGAGTCTTGTCTCCGCTGCCCAGCTGCCATGTCCTTGGCTGCGCTGTTCCGCATGGGCCACGCCCGGAGGCAACTCTCCTCCGGGAGAGCTGCTAGTGAGGAGGGGGCCGTAGGGGGAGGTGGGGCTGGGGCGACGGCACGCATGCCCAAAGAGAGGGCTCTGGGTGCCGCCTCTGGCACGCATGCCATAGGTTCGCCACCACTGCTATAAACTGCTGGATTTATATATAATCCAACTCTCTATATAAAAAAGCTACAGTGTAAGTAGATCTATCATTATCTTTTATGGATGTCTAAAGATAAAAAAATAATCTAGCTCTTTCTAGGAAACTTAAAATTTCTTGCTTTACATATATATCTATATCTGTCTATCAATCTAATACATACCTAATTATAATTCTTCTGAATTCAATATAAACCCATTTGTCTTTTATGGTCTGTGTATATACAGCATTTACTAGAGAAGTCATTTAAATGCAAAACTGTGCATGTCCATGTCAAACATGCAGCTATGCTACAGAGATTTCCATTTAACTTTTCCTTTTGTCTGATATGGGTATTTCTTAAAAAATATTCTCCTGGCCATTTTTTTTTGTATGTTGTATGGTAGTCTAGCTTTGGCATCAAATAATCTTTTTCTCTGACCCTAGGACTTAAATGAATGGATTTTGTTTCCAATGACAAAACATTCCAAAATTTCAAAAATGTTCAGCTGGAAATATCTAAAGAACATGTTCTATATCAAGAAGAATTAGAAATGTTCTGTATCAAGTTCAGAATACATTTTTAATTCATTCCTGTGCAGAACCTAATTTTTTAAACTCCATATTAATTACCCACATTGTTTATTCTGATAATTGTTTTCAAAACTTCTGACAATGTTATACTGTCGTTTATTAAAAGACATTAGAAAACAAGCAACATGCCACATGAATTTACCAGCATCTTTAATCAGAAGAGCATGAGTATCATCCATGTTGGTGGGCCCTGAAGTAATATATGTAACAGAAAAACAAGAGTTAGAAATTCTTCTTATTCGTTGACATATGAAGAAATAAATTGTTTTCATATGAAAGTAGAGAAATATTGAGTTATTTATAAAAAAAATAATAAATATTATTTTATTAGGATAGAAATAAATATGTATTTGTTTGACAGTTATAATCTTATCTAAATTGGAAGAAGCCATGAGGGGAAAGCATTTACTTGAAAAGGGGAAAGTAGATATTTATGCATGGTAACCGCTTATCAGCATTATAATGCAATTGTCTTATATGAAGGCAATTCATATAAGGCAATTGCAGACTATCCTAGAACTTAGGAAGACATTGTGGTTCTCATCATTTTCAAACACTTGTACAGCAACCCTTCGAAATTGTGAGGGTGCTGGACATGGAGACTTACAACCAACCCTCATAGTTGCAGCTGTTATAGCATCCCCACGGTCAGGCAATCGCAATTCAGACACTTGGAAACTGGCTCACAATTACAATGGTTGCAGTGTCCCGCAGTCACATGATCATAATTTGCAACCTTCACCGCCACTTCTAATAAGCAAAGTCAAGTCCTGCCAGCAGGTCACAAATAGTGATGACATGATGCTATGCTTAACAACCATGTGGAATTTGCTTAACTGTGGCAACTGGAACTGCCTTTGTAAGTCAACATGTTCACATGACATTGTACTTTACAACCATGTCACTTAGCAACAGAGTTGCAGGTCACAATTACCATATGAGTTTGCATTGTTTACATGTAATATAAAATCTCTGCTTTTGTAAAGAAAACTTCCCAGGAAACACAAAACAACAATATTACAGCTTTTAGCAGAATGGTAACACTGATGAAAGTTGCTGACCTGAGCTGAATCTGAATTTTCAGGCCAATCTCGCTAGTGTTATTTCAACTATAGTAAAAATCCCAACATATTATGCACTTAAGATGTTTAAGAGGCCTTTCAACTAACACGAGACAGGACAATTCAACATATGTTAGGATAAACACTGGGAATAAATGAACTTCAATAATTCATTTAACAAAAGCAAAACAAACTTTCCATCTCAACTCTAATCTTATTCATAAAGTTTAACTATACCTAATTAATCCCATGTTAAAAGTTCATTAATTAGCCAATAAATATCCTAGTGTTATATTAGTTCCTAAAGTTTTAGTAGTTTTAATTAAAGCCCAACATTACCTGGTAAAAATATTTATATTACTTAATGAAATATATATTCCATTATTGTATACTATTAAACAATTTTTTTAAAAAAAATACCTTGTAAGGAATGAACCATTTCTAGAAGAACTGGAGTAAGCGTTTGATTATATTCATGAAAAATATCAATGAAAAGCACTTCCGTGCATGGCTGAAAATAAATTAAAATGGCTTATTATAGAAAACAAACAACAATGAAGCAAATTAGCTTGAAGTACTAAGAGACCTAACTAGGACATGAAAGCAGATGCACAAAATGGTTAGATTAGTTCTATAACTCAGGGCTTTTCAACCTTTTCACCCATTGTGCCACTTTTAGGATATGGCAATATCCGAGTACCACCAGTCACCTAGCAAGGTGTCAAAAACTTGATGACCAAAAAAAAAAAAAGGAAAAAAGTGATAAAGTACAGGTAGTCCTCGACTTACAACAGTTCGCTTAGTGACTGTTCGAAGTTACAATGGCACTGAAAAAAGTGCCCCCCAAGCCACAGCCGAGCAAAACACCTGCCTGCCCACCCGGTGGCGCTCTTCCTCCTGTCTGAGGTTTTCGTTGTTTTGAGCATTTCTGTTGGGGATTGGTAGCAGGGGTGGGGTGGGGAGGTGTTTGGTTTTTATTCCCCCCGTTTGCTGGGTGGTTGCAGCAGGTTTTGATCACTTCCCATGACCCTGGGACACTGTGACCGTCATAAATATGAATCAGTTGCCAAGCATCTGAATGTAAATCACAACATTCCAGCTGATTGGTGCTTCTTCAGGGCTCAGCAGAAGCACCAGGATCAGCGCCGAGCTCCAGCTGGA